CCCCCCCGTGTGCCGGCCTGGCGCCCTGCGGGGGGCCCCTGGGCCCGCTACTGCTCGATCTGCTGCCAGGTCCCGTCCAGCGATTCCTTCCAGAGGCTGACCGCATTGTTGCCGTCCGACGCCGCCAGGATGCCGCCCGTCACCGACCACGACACGCGCCACACGGGGGTCCGGAAGTCGTGCACCACCGCCCTGTCCCAGCCGCTGCCGTCCGCGCGCTCCGACCAAGAAATGACCTGGCGGGGCCGCGAGGGGGAGTGTGGACGTAAGGTGGGGAAGGACAGGGGACGCGTCAGCGTCTCGCGGCCGCGCTGAGCTGTTGGTGCTCTGCAGTCAAGCCGCGGCTGTGCGGGGCACGCGCCAGGTGCGACGGCTGCAGCAGGCTCATTAGTGGTAAACCCTGAACGTGAATCCTACGCCTTCCAGCCATGACGAAAAATCCAAGGGGACAAGCGAGCCGCCTGACCAGCAGATGCGAGCGGCCCCACCTGCCCGTCCTGGCCAGCCGTGGCGATTGTGTTGATGGGCAGCCCGAGGTTCGGCGCCCACGCCGCGTCCCGCACCCAGTCTGTGTGCCCCTGCAGCAGCGCCTCCTGCGCCCAGCCGCCGCTGCTGCAGCCCCAGACCTTGGCTGTGTTGTCGCAGCCCGCGCTGACGAGGCGCTTCACGGGCGGCTGCGGCGGCTGCGAGGACACGAGGCTGCCGGGGGCCGCAGCGGGCGCCCAAGAGACTGCAGTGCACCCCAGGGTGTGTGCATTTGGGATCTGGGGATGGAGCAGGCAGCACACGGCAGCGGCGCCAGGCGGAAGTCAGAAGGAGAGCCGCGACAGGGAAAGCCGCGGTGCGCGCCACCACCACCCTCGCAGCTGCTGCAAGCCCCTGCTGTGCCCGCTGCTATCCTCCAAGACCCATCCGACAGAAAGTTCCCGGCCGTGCACAAGTTCCATTTGTCTGTCACACGAACGCGGGGCCTGCCGCCGACTGGCGCCTGCAGCAACGATGTCGCCACCACTGCGGCGCTGTCCCTGTTCTCTGTGCGCCGCACCGTGGTGGCCTGCCAGTTGCCATCTCCCTGGTGCTCCACGATGCCTATGCTGCCGTCTGACGATGCAGTGGCAAACAGCAGCCCGAGCTCCTGGGGCGCCCAGGCCACGCCGTTGATTGACGCGCTGTGGAGGGAGCTGGGGGTTTTGTACACCTAGATTGCGCGGCGCGGGGG